GGAGGCTCTTTCCTGTGTAAAGAGTAATTTTTCTCTTTGTGATTTTGATGGTCTCTGTCTGACTTTTGATAATTTGATTCATAATGTGTTTTAGTGTGGATCCCTTCACATGTAACTTGTTTAGAATGCTTTCAGCTTCATAAATCTAGACATTCATTTCCCTTCTCACATTAATTAAAAAAAATAATCCTAGTGCCCCTTTCTCTGTTTTCTTTTTCAATTCAATGATTCGTATATTGGTGGGCTTGATATATCCCAGTGTTCTTAAGCTTTCTTTACTGTTTTTCATTCTTTTTATTCTTGCTTCTCTGATTGGATAATTTCATATTTGCTAGTTTTGAGTTTTATGCTTCTTTCTTTGTACTTGGTCAAGGTTATGGTTGAACCCCTCTATCCAGTCCATTGTTCAGTTTAGCTAGTATACTCCAGCTCCCAAATTTCTGTTTTTGTTTACATTTTTATTTTGTTTAATTATAATTTTCCTAACCTCATTGGGCATTTTGGTGATGATTAGTTTGCATTTTTGCCGGATACTTCATATACCTCTGTTTCATTAGGGTTAATTTCTGGACATTCATTTTATTCCTTTGCTTGGACCATATTTTACATTCCTTAAAATGTTGCATTGTTTTCTGTACATTTGAAAAAGGGTTCCCTTTCCCAGTCTTTGTGAACTAGTTCTTTGTACAGGGAAAATGCTTAAGAATCATCCTGAGTAGCGTTTCTAAGGTCACTTCCAACCTTTCCTGTGATTGTGTCTTCTCTGGACTTTAATGTGTAGATTTCTAATTCAGGTGATTTATTGGTTTCTCATTTTAGAACTTGTATTCTCTGGTCCCTTTAATACCTGTTTCTTTACTATGGGTCTCTGGAGCAGTGGCAACTCTGTTTGTTTGTATGCTGTTTTGTTTTCAGCCCTTTCCAGGCAACTAGACCGTCCTTGGTTCCAGAGAGTCAGCCAGGTGTTTCGGAAACACATCCCAGAGATGTGAATATTGAGCATATACTCCAATCTTCTTTTCTCCTTAGAGGCAAACTGTGGGCTGTGAATTTTCCTGATTGTTTCATGGCTCTCTTAAGGCTTACGATTCCAAAATGTCTCTCCTTTGTCCTCAGGGATTCCTAGGCATCTAGAGTATGCTAGTTCTGACAGTTTTTATAGAATCCACTCTCTGAATCAGCTCCCTCAAAAATTCAAAGTGCTGGATAGGTGCTTTTAAATGTTCTTACCTGTGGCGGAAGCTGGGATTTGAGGCTTCTCACCTGGTAGTTTGGCTGAGCTGGTTTGGAGGACTTGTGACCAGTTACTGTGTGTTAATGCACAATGTAGCCTTTGTTCTTTCTCAATTCTTCCCAGACTGGGACAATTTTCTGCCAGCTCTGATTGTGATGAGACAGATATCAGACCCTCAGGTAGTCCCTGGAAAAGTGGAATATACAGGATGTTGTTTTAGTTACTTTTCCCATTACTATGACAAAATACCCAACACTCAAAGTTAAAGGAGGAAAAGTTTCTTTGGCTCATAATTTGTAGAGATTTAAGTCCATAGTCATCTGGCTTCCAGGCAGGGTGGCTTGGTAGAGGGTATAGCAGGGGGAAACAGTTCACAGGAAAGCAGGGCAGGCAGAAGAAAGCAAGCAACAAACAAGTGATAAGCAACAGCACTAGTCTTTCTGTTCCTTATGTATTATCCAGGATATCTTACACCTTAGGGTGGGTAGCACTCATATTTAGGGTGGGAAACCCTTAATCCTACCCATAACTATGCCAAACCAGTCAGTGGACTAGTTTATTAATCACATACCCTTGATGCCAGCATCATATGCTCTAGATCCAGCCACCCAAAGCCCCATCTATGGCTGCATGAGGCTTTGAGAGGACATCTAGGTGCAAGCCATAACAGGGGTACAGGTCAGTACCCACTTTCCCTCAGGGAGAAGCCAGGGGCTGAGGATTTTCTCCAGTTCATGTGATTTTGTTTGGAGGAGGGATCATAACAACATTATGCCATACCTTTTCCTGCCTTCTTAAGTGTGGTTTGTTTCATGCTCACTTATGGTGCAGGATCTCTTGCCAGGTATTTGGATGTTTCCAAGGCATTGATTCCCTCTTATTGCTTATCTCATCCTTATCTGTGTAAGAGCAAGTCTGTATTTCTCTAGTATTTGGAATCAACATAGATTCCTTGAGAGTATTTGAATACTTTAGCATTAAGAAAAAGTGAGTGAGAAAAGTTATCTCTCCTGCAATTTTGTTACTTGAGAGTAGTAAAGACTATGTCAGGGAATTTCACTAAGATATTGAATTTTTTTTCTGTGTTAATGTTGTCACCCTGAAGTTAGTTAAGCCACAGTCAGTCTCCTTTTCTAATTGGTACAAGATTCATATCATGAGTTCACTATGATCATGTCCTCTGCACCAGTTGTAGATTGTCTTCATTGAATGTTATTCTTTGTATAGCATTTGCTATTCATAAAGAGGCTTTTGGATTGATTTTGCCCCCC